TTCTCCAAAGATGATTGAGTCCATTAAGCACCGATTTGGGCGGATTTATTCTGGGTCACTTTTTGGCAGATTCCAAAGGGGTACCATCACAAATTTCGAGCGATTTATCCAAAATGCAATTTTCTTTCGATACGGGAGGCTACAGATCATGGAATCAGGCCGAGGCTATTCTCCACCGATAATGAAGTCTATAGATCCTATTTTCCACAGATGATAAGTCCGTTAAGCATCGATTTGTGCCAATTTATTTTCAGATGGCATTTTCGTAATTTCTTTGGCAACGAAAGGCCATTTTTATTTGATATTGAAGGCTACAGATCACGGATTCGGCCTGAGGCTGTTCTCCAACGATGATTAAGTCCATTAAGCACCGATTTGGGCGGATTTATTAAGGGTCAATTTTTGGCAGATTCTAAAGGTGTACCATCACAGATTTCAGACGATTTAACCGAAATGCCATTTTCTTTCGATTCTGGAAGAGACAGATCACAGAATCATGACGAGGCTATTCTCCAATGATAATGAAGTCTATTGATCCAATTCTCCACGGATGATAAGTCTGTTAAGCATCGATTTGGGCCAATTTATTTTCGGAAATCATTTTCGTAATTTCTTGGGCGACGAAAGGTCATTTTGTTTGGATATTGAAGGCTACAGATTACGGAATTGGCCTGAGCCTATTCTCCAACGATGATTGAGTCCATTAAGCACCGATTTGAGCGTATATATTCCGGGTCAATTTTTGGCAGATTCCATAGGGGTACCATCACAGATTACGGGCGATTTATCCGAAATGCCATTTACTTTTGATTCTGGAAGCTACAGATCACGGAATCAGGCGAGGCTATTCTCCACTGATAATGAATTCTATTGATCCTATTCTCCACAGTTGATAAGTCCGTTAAGCATCGATTTGGGCCAATTTATTTTCGGATGGCATTTTTGTAATTTCTTGGGCTACGAAAGGCCATTTTTGTAACACCCTACCCTATACGTTTTGCCTAGTCATATTGTTCATACAATTGCAGCGGAATTAAACTTGGGTGTTACATTAATTATCAAAATTTACCCAAATAAAATTTCGACATGAAGTACTCGCGTAATGGGCTAACAGTTCTTGCAACTTATCCTGCAAAATAATTCATATGAATCCCTTCATTCGTAGACATACAAATATACTCATAACCTTATACATTGCTTCTCATAGCCATAGGCACAGTTTCATACTCCGCAACTGCATACCTTACTAATACATGTCATAGTCGTCACACTTACACAGTTACACAACATATACACATATCATCAACTTTCCACACCTGTGGATATCTCACACTACATCAGAAGCTAGTATGCACATGAAAAACGTTCTCAAAACATTTTTACAAAAAGGGTGTGGATCACTGGCCAAAATCCCAAGTAGTAGTCCAAGCACCAAATAGTTGAAGACCATACCTCATCCTGGCTTCAACTCTAGCTCCTCTCCCACCTAACACTTATCTACTGCTGCTGATGATGATCTGCTTACACATAGCATAAGCAGAGAAGAAGAATAAAAGAGGGTCAGCTCATAGCTGAGTGAGATAATCATCGCATAGTGAGTTCATAACAGAGCATACCCCTACTATACATCTAGCAGACAAGCCAAAACACTAGGATCGGACCTCAGCCATCCTCATATCCCAATAAGCAAAAGACTCAACCACTTTGACTTATGCATATGCATCTTATCATGTTTTATTCATAGGCGCCAGGCTACTCCCATGCTAATAACTCTCCCGGGAAACATACCCCACATCCCGTCGGATGTAGTCATACATACCCCAACATCCCGTCGGATGTGGTCATACATACCCCACACCACTATGGGTGTAGTCATACCCCGACACCGCTCTGGGTGTGGTCATATCTCATAAGAATTCTTCAGTCACCACCACATGAGAGGTGTGACTATCATACATATCATAATAGAGTAATAGCATAGGGAGCCCTAATTACTACGTAATTGACCGTGAGACCACAACACTCATATTTAGTATCCTTATACATGATTCATATCTTATCTTGCTTAATCATAATTCATTACTTGCACATGTACTTGACCAGGCCACAATTGGCTCAACATAGGTAAATCAGGAGTCGCATAATTGCACTTCCTCGGGATAAACCCTCGTGCAAGTCATCCTGCTTAAAACATCATAATATCACCCTGGGAAGTTTATTTCCCCCACTTGTGAATCCAAATACAACCACAATATCACATCATATCAAAACACCTGATCGAACAACCATGAATTCATATCAACGGTTAAGCCACAAATGGCAACATGTATGCAATCATCAACATAAACAAGGTCCATATCGGCTAGGGCAAATCAATAATATCATACAACAGTCCAGGGTTCATCATATAACACAAAAGTCCATACACCCCTAATCATGCCATTCTAGTTCACCTAGGTCAATTCTAAGCATCAAAATAATTATCGTGATACGACAAACCCGGTATGCCGTGCTAATCCCTCACCAGTTCTGGTCGTTCAAACACCGGTTCTAGCCTCCGGTACTAAAACATCAATTTCACGAACGAACCCCGAATTAAAATCCGAGACCGTCCTAATATCCCCTGCAGTATCCCCGTCAATATTAGTTCTGGGCTCCGGGTCAAATTCTCGATAAAAACACATCAAACCCTGGCCGGAGCTAAATTCAGCGGTTTGGACCCCGGCCTAAATAATAGCCGAAATTCAGGGATTAGAACTAGAGGATTGATTACCTCGCCGCAGGAAGCTCGTATATGAAATTTGGGCTCAATCCGGCTTCCGGATACTCCGAAACCCTAATTTGGCAGATCGGGAATTCAAGAAATTCCTGAACCAAAAACTCGTTTTAAAGCTCTAAATCGATAAATCACGATGTATGGATGAATTAGGCATTACTTACGGGATTTTTGGATCAGTGTAGCTCAAGAATCGAGCTACAGAAATTTTCCCCCGCGATGCCCTGTGCGCCTCTGCTTCTCGTTACTCTCGTCCGAAAAGAAAGAAGATGAAGAAATGGATGGGAATTATATGCCGACTGCATTTATATATATATATATATATAATATTATATAATATATATAATTAATACGTATACTTATCCGATCGATCGATAATCCGATTTTCGTCGAAATAGTGTCGAAATGCTCGATTTTAAATCGCGAACTTTCTAGCGATCGAAATACGATTTTAGCCGAAATGGGATGTTACAATTTTCTTTGGATATTGAAGGCTACAGATCACGGATACGGCCTGAGGATATTCTCCAACGATGATTGAGTCCATTAAGCAACGATTTAGGCGGATTTATTCCGGGTCAATTTTTGGCAGATTCCAAAAAGGTGCCATCACAGATTTCGGGCGATTTATCCGAAATGCCATTTTCTTTCAATTCTGGAGGCTACAGATCACGGAATCAGGCCGAGGCTATTCTCCACCGATAATGAAGTCTATTCATCCTATTTTCCACGGATGATAAGTCCGTTAAGCATCGATTTGGGCCAATTTATTTTTGGATGGCATTTTCTTAATTTCTTGGGCGACGAAAGGCCATTTTCATTGGATATTGAAGGCTATGGATCACGGATTCGGCCTGAGGCTATTCTCCAACGATGATTGAGTCCATTAAGCAAGGATTTAGGCGGATTTATTCCGGGTCAATTTTTGGCAGATTCCAAAGGGGTGCCATCACAGATTTCGGGCGATTTATCCGAAATGCCATTTTCTTTCGATTCTGGAGGCTACAGATCACGGAATCAGGCCGAGGCTATTCTCCACCGATAATGAAGTCTATTGATCCTATTCTCCACGGATGATAAGTCCGTTAAGCATCAATTTGGGCCAATTAATTTTCGGATGGCATTTTCGTGATTTCTTGGGCTACGAAAGGCCATTTTCATTGGATATTGAAGTCTACAGATCACGGATTCGGCCTGAGTCTATTCTCCAACAATGATTGAGTCCATTAAGCACTGATTTGGGCGGATTTATTCCGGGTCAATTTTTGGCAGATTCCAAAGGGGGTACCATCACAGATTTCGGGCGATTTATCCGAAATGCCATTTTCTTTTGATTCTGGAGGCTACAGATCACGGAATCAGGCCGAGGCTATTCTCCACCGATAATGAATTCTATTGATCCTATTCTCCACGGATGATAAGTCCGTTAAGCATCGAAATGGGCCAATTAATTTTTGGATGGCATTTTCATAATTTCTTGGGCGACGAAAGGCCACTTTCTTTGGATATTGAAGGATACAGATCACGGATTTGGCCTGAGGCTATTCTCCAACGATGATTTAGTTCATTAACTACCGATTTGGGCGCATTTTTTCCGGGTCAATTTTTGGCAGATTCCAAAGGGGTACCATCACAGATTTCGGGCGATTTATCCGAAATGTCATTTTCTTTCGATTCTGGAGGCTACAAATCACGGAATCAGGCCGAGGCTAATCTACACCGATAATGAAGTTTATTGATCCTATTCTCCACGGATGATAAGACCGTTAAGCATCGATTTTGGCCAATTTATCTTTGCATGGCATTTTCGTAATTTCTTGGGAAACGAAAAGTCATTTTCTTTGGATATTGAAGGCTACTGATTACGGAATTGGCCTGAGCCTATTCTCCAACGATGATTGAGTCCATTAAGCACCGATTTGGGCGTATATATTCCGGGTCAATTTTTGGCAGATTCCATAGGGGTACCATCACAGATTTCGGGCGATTTATCCAAAATGCCATTTACTTTTGATTCTGGAGGCTACAGATCACGGAATCAGGCTGAGGCTATTCTCCACCGATAATGAATTCTATTGATCCTATTCTCCACGGTTGATAAGTTCGTTAAGCATCGATTTGGGCCAATTTATTTTCGGATGGTATTTTCGTAATTTCTTGGGCGACGAAAGGTCATTTTCTTTGGATATTGAAGGCTATAGATCACGGATTCGTCCTGAGGCTATTCTCCAACGATGATTGAGTCCATTAAGCAACGATTTAGGCGGATTTATTCCGGGTCAATTTTTGGCAGATTTCAAAGGGGTGCCATCACAGATTTAGGGCGATTTATTCGAAATGCCATTTTCTTTCGATTCTGGAGGCTACAGATCACGGAATCAGGCCGAGGTTATTCTCCACTGATAATGAAGCCTATTGATCCTATTCTCCACGGATGATAAGTCCGTTAAGCATCGATTTGGGCCAATTTATTTTCGGATGGCATTTTCGTAATTTCTTGGGCTACGAAAGGCCATTTTCTTTGGATATTGAAGGCTACAGATCACGGATTCGGCCTGAGGATATTCTCCAAAGATGATTGAGTCCATTAAGCACCGATTTGGGCGGATTTATTCTGGGTCACTTTTTGGCAGATTCCAAAGGTGTACGTACCATCACAGATTTCGGGCGATTTATCCGAAATGCCATTTTCATTCGATTTTGGAGGAGACAGATCACGGAATCATGACGAGGCTATTCTCCACCGATAATGATGTCTATTGATCCTATTCTCCACGGATGATAAGTCCGTTAAGCACCGATTTGGGCCAATTTATTTTCGGATGGCATTTTCGTAATTTCTTGATCGACGAAAGGTCATTTTCTTTGGATTATGAAGGCTACAGATCACGGATTCGGCCTGAGGCTGTTCTACCACGATGATTAAGTCCATTAAGCACCGATTTGGGCGGATTTATTCCGGGTCAATTTTTGGCAGATTCCAAAGGGGTGCCATCACAGATTTCGGGCGATTTATCCAAAATGCCATTTTCTTTCGATTCTGGATGCTACAGATCACGGAATCAGGGCGAGGCTATTCTCCACCGATAATGAAGTCTATTGATCCTATTCTCCTCGGATGATAATTCCGTTAAGCATCGATTTGGGCCAATTTATTTTCGGAAGGCATTTTCGTAATTTCTTGGGCGACGAAAGGCCATTTTCATTGGATATTGAAGGTTACAGATCACGGATTAGGCCTGAGACTATTCTCCAACGTTGATTGAGTCCATTAAGCACCGATTTGGGTGGATATATTCCGGGTCAATTTTTGGCAGATTCCATAGGGGTACCATCACAGATTTCGTGCGATTTATCCGAAATGCCATTTTCTTTCGATTCTGGATGCTACAGATCACGGAATCAGGGCGAGGCTATTCTCCACCGATAATGAAGTCTATTGATCCTATTCTCCTCGGATGATAATTCCGTTAAGCATCGATTTGGGCCAATTTATTTTCGGATGGCATTTTCGTAATTTCTTAGGCTACGAAAGGCCATTTTCTTTGGATGTTGAAGGCTACAGATCACGGATTCGGCCTGAGGATATTCTCTAAAGATGATTGAGTCCATTAAGCACCGATTTGGGCGGATTTATTCTGGGTTACTTTTTGGCAGATTCCAAAGGGGTACCATCACAAATTTCCAGCGATTTATCCAAAATGCTATTTTCTTTCGATTCGGGAGGCTACAGATCATGGAATCAGGCCGAGGCTATTCTCCACCGATAATGAAGTCTATTGATCCTATTCTCCACGGATGATAAGTCCGTTAAGCATCGATTTGGGCCAATTTATTTTCAGATGTCATTTTCGTAATTTCTTGGGCGACGAAAGGCCATTTTCATTGGATATTGAAGGCTACATGTCACGGATTCGGCCTGAGGCTGTTCTCCAACGATGATTGAGTCCATTAAGCACCGATTTGGGTGGATATATTCCGGGTCAATTTTTGGCAGATTCCATAGGGGTACCATCACAGATTTCGGGCGATTTATCCGAAATGCCATTTTCTTTCGATTCTGGATGCTACAGATCACGGAATCAGGGCGAGGCTATTCTCCACCGATAATGAAGTCTATTGATCCTATTCTCCTCGGATGATAAGTCCGTTAAGCATCGATTTGGGCCAATTTATTTTCGGATGGCATTTTCGTAATTTCTTGGGCTATGAAAGGCCATTTTCTTTGGATATTGAAGGCTACAGATCACTGATTCGGCCTGAGGATATTCTCAAAGATGATTGAGTCCATTAAGCACCGATTTGGGCGGATTTATTCCTGGTCACTTTTTGGCAGATTCCAAAGGGGTTACCATCACAGATTTCGGGCGATTTATCCGAAATGCCATTTTCTTTTGATTGTGGAGGCTACAGATAACGGAATCAGGCCGAGGCTATTCTCCACCGATAATGAATTCTATTGATCCTATTCTCCACGGATGATAAGTCCGTTAAGCATCGAAATGGGCCAATTTATTTTCGGATGGAATTTTCATAATTTCTTGGGCGACGAAAGGCCACTTTCTTTGGATATTGAAGGCTACAGATCACGGATTCGGCCTGAGGCTATTCTCCAACGATTATTTAGTTCATTAAGCACCGATTTGGGCGCATTTATTCCGGGTCAATTTTTGGCAGATTCCAAAGGGGTACCATCACAAATTTCCAGCGATTTATCCGAAATGCTATTTTCTTTTGATTCTGGAGGCTACAGATCACAAAATCAGACTGAGGCTATTCTCCTCCGATAATGAAGTCTATTGATCCTATTTTCCACGGATGATAAGTCTGTGAAGCATCGATTGGGGCCAATTTATTTTCGAATGGAATTTTCGTAATTTCTTGGGCGCTGAAAGGCCATTTTCATTGGATATTGAAGGCTACAGATCACGGATTCGGCATGAGGCTATTCTCCAACGATGATTGAGTCCATTAAGCATCGATTTGGGCGGATTTATTTTGGGTCCATTTTTGGCAGATTCCAAAGGGGTACCATCACATATTTCCGGCGATTTATCCGAAATGCTATTTTCTTTTGATTCTGGAGGCTACAGATCACGAATCAGGCTGAGGCTATTCTCCACCGATAATGAAGTCCATTGATCCTATACTCCACTGATGATAAGTCTGTTAAGCATCGATTTGGGCCAATTTATTTTCAGATGGAATTTTTCGTAATTTCTTGTGTGACGAAAGGCCATTTTCATTGGCTATTGAAGGCTACAAATCACGGATTCGGCTTGAGGCTATTCTCCAACAATGATTGAGTCCCTTAAACACAGATTTGGGCGGATTTATTCCGGGTCAATTTTTGGCAGATTCCAAAGGGGTACCATCACAGATTTCGGGCGATTTATCGGAATGTCATTTTCTTTCAATTCTGGAGGCTACAAATCACGGAATCAGGCCGAGACTAATCTACACCGATAATGAAGTTTATTGATCCTATTCTCCACGGATGATAAGTCCGTTAAGCATCGATTTTGGCCAATTTATCTTTGGATGGCATTTCCGTAATTTATAGGGCGACGAAGGCCATTTTCATTGGATATTGAAGTCTACAGATCACGGATTCGGCCTGAGTCTATTCTCCAACAATGATTGAGTCCATTAAGCACTGATTTGGGCGGATTTATTCCGGGTCAATTTTTGGCAGATTCCAAAGGGGGTACCATCACAGATTTCGGGCGATTTATCCGAAATGCCATTTTCTTTTGATTCTGGAGGCTACAGATCACGGAATCAGGCCGAGGCTATTCTCCACCGATAATGAATTCTATTGATCCTATTCTCCACGGATGATAAGTCCGTTAAGCATCGAAATGGGCCAATTAATTTTTGGATGGCATTTTCATAATTTCTTGGGCGACGAAAGGCCACTTTCTTTGGATATTGAAGGATACAGATCACGGATTTGGCCTGAGGCTATTCTCCAACGATGATTTAGTTCATTAACTACCGATTTGGGCGCATTTTTTCCGGGTCAATTTTTGGCAGATTCCAAAGGGGTACCATCACAGATTTCGGGCGATTTATCCGAAATGTCATTTTCTTTCGATTCTGGAGGCTACAAATCACGGAATCAGGCCGAGGCTAATCTAGACCGATAATGAAGTTTATTGATCCTATTCTCCACGGATGATAAGACCGTTAAGCATCGATTTTGGCCAATTTATCTTTGCATGGCATTTTCGTAATTTCTTGGGCAACGAAAGGTCATTTTCTTTGGATATTGAAGGCTACTGATTACGGAATTGGCCTGAGCCTATTCTCCAACGATGATTGAGTCCATTAAGCACCGATTTGGGCGTATATATTCCGGGTCAATTTTTGGCAGATTCCATAGGGGTACCATCACAGATTTCGGGCGATTTATCCAAAATGCCATTTACTTTTGATTCTGGAGGCTACAGATCACGGAATCAGGCTGAGGCTATTCTCCACCGATAATGAATTCTATTGATCCTATTCTCCACGGTTGATAAGTTCGTTAAGCATCGATTTGGGCCAATTTATTTTCGGATGGTATTTTCGTAATTTCTTGGGCGACGAAAGGTCATTTTCTTTGGATATTGAAGGCTATAGATCACGGATTCGTCCTGAGGCTATTCTCCAACGATGATTGAGTCCATTAAGCAACGATTTAGGCGGATTTATTCCGGGTCAATTTTTGGCAGATTTCAAAGGGGTGCCATCACAGATTTAGGGCGATTTATTCGAAATTCCATTTTCTTTCGATTATGGAGGCTACAGATCACGGAATCAGGCCGAGGTTATTCTCCACCGATAATGAAGCCTATTGATCCTATTCTCCACGGATGATAAGTCCGTTAAGCATCGATTTGGGCCAATTTATTTTCGGATGGCATTTTCGTAATTTCTTGGGCTACGAAAGGCCATTTTCTTTGGATATTGAAGGCTACAGATCACGGATTCGGCCTGAGGATATTCTCCAAAGATGATTGAGTCCATTAAGCACCGATTTGGGCGGATTTATTCTGGGTCACTTTTTGGCAGATTCCAAAGGTGTACGTACCATCACAGATTTCGGGCGATTTATCCGAAATGCCATTTTCATTCGATTTTGGAGGAGACAGATCACGGAATCATGACGAGGCTATTCTCCACCGATAATGATGTCTATTGATCCTATTCTCCACGGATGATAAGTCCGTTAAGCACCGATTTGGGCCAATTTATTTTCGGATGGCATTTTCGTAATTTCTTGATCGACGAAAGGTCATTTTCTTTGGATATTGAAGGCTACAGATCACGGATTCGGCCTGAGGCTGTTCTACCACGATGATTAAGTCCATTAAGCACCGATTTGGGCGGATTTATTCCGGGTCAATTTTTGGCAGATTCCAAAGGGGTGCCATCACAGATTTCGGGCGATTTATCCAAAATGCCATTTTCTTTCGATTCTGGATGCTACAGATCACGGAATCAGGGCGAGGCTATTCTCCACCGATAATGAAGTCTATTGATCCTATTCTCCTCGGATGATAATTCCGTTAAGCATCGATTTGGGCCAATTTATTTTCGGAAGGCATTTTCGTAATTTCTTGGGCGACGAAAGGCCATTTTCATTGGATATTGAAGGTTACAGATCACGGATTAGGCCTGAGACTATTCTCCAACGTTGATTGAGTCCATTAAGCACCGATTTGGGTGGATATATTCCGGGTCAATTTTTGGCAGATTCCATAGGGGTACCATCACAGATTTCGTGCGATTTATCCGAAATGCCATTTTCTTTCGATTCTGGATGCTACAGATCACGGAATCAGGGCGAGGCTATTCTCCACCGATAATGAAGTCTATTGATCCTATTCTCCTCGGATGATAATTCCGTTAAGCATCGATTTGGGCCAATTTATTTTCGGATGGCATTTTCGTAATTTCTTAGGCTACGAAAGGCCATTTTCTTTGGATGTTGAAGGCTACAGATCACGGATTCGGCCTGAGGATATTCTCTAAAGATGATTGAGTCCATTAAGCACCGATTTGGGCGGATTTATTCTGGGTTACTTTTTGGCAGATTCCAAAGGGGTACCATCACAAATTTCCAGCGATTTATCCAAAATGCTATTTTCTTTCGATTCGGGAGGCTACAGATCATGGAATCTGGCCGAGGCTATTCTCCACCGATAATGAAGTCTATTGATCCTATTCTCCACGGATGATAAGTCCGTTAAGCATCGATTTGGGCCAATTTATTTTCAGATGTCATTTTCGTAATTTCTTGGGCGACGAAAGGCCATTTTCATTGGATATTGAAGGCTACATGTCACGGATTCGGCCTGAGGCTGTTCTCCAACGATGATTGAGTCCATTAAGCACCGATTTGGGTGGATATATTCCGGGTCAATTTTTGGCAGATTCCATAGGGGTACCATCACAGATTTCGGGCGATTTATCCGAAATGCCATTTTCTTTCGATTCTGGATGCTACAGATCACGGAATCAGGGCGAGGCTATTCTCCACCGATAATGAAGTCTATTGATCCTATTCTCCTCGGATGATAAGTCCGTTAAGCATCGATTTGGGCCAATTTATTTTCGGATGGCATTTTCGTAATTTCTTGGGCTATGAAAGGCCATTTTCTTTGGATATTGAAGGCTACATATCACTGATTCGGCCTGAGGATATTCTCAAAGATGATTGAGTCCATTAAGCACCGATTTGGGCGGATTTAGTCCGGGTCACTTTTTGGCAGATTCCATAGGGGTTACCATCACAGATTTCGGGCGATTTATTCGAAATGCCATTTTCTTTTGATTCTGGAGGCTACAGATAACGGAATCAGGCCGAGGCTATTCTCCACCGATAATGAATTCTATTGATCCTATTCTCCACGGATGATAAGTCTGTTAAGCATCGAAATGGGCCAATTTATTTTCGGATGGAATTTTCATAATTTCTTGGGCGACGAAAGGCCACTTTCTTTGGATATTGAAGGCTACAGATCACGGATTCGGCCTGAGGCTATTCTCCAACGATTATTTAGTTCATTAAGCACCGATTTGGGCGCATTTATTCCGGGTCAATTTTTGGCAGATTCCAAAGGGGTACCATCACAAATTTCCGGCGATTTATCCGAAATGCTATTTTCTTTTGATTCTGGAGGCTACAGATCACGAAATCAGACTGAGGCTATTCTCCTCCGATAATGAAGTCTATTGATCCTATTTTCCACGGATGATAAGTCTGTGAAGCATCGATTGGGGCCAATTTATTTTCGAATGGAATTTTCGTAATTTCTTGGGCGCTGAAAGGCCATTTTCATTGGATATTGAAGGCTACAGATCACGGATTTGGCCTGAGGCTATTCTCCAACGATGATTGAGTCCATTAAGCATCGATTTGGGCGGAATTATTCCGGGTCCATTTTTGGCAGATTCCAAAGGGGTACCATCACATATTTCCGGCGATTTATCCGAAATGCTATTTTCTTTTGATTCTGGAGGCTACAGATCACGAATCAGGCTGAGGCTATTCTCCACCGATAATGAAGTCCATTGATCCTATACTCCACTGATGATAAGTCTGTTAAGCATCGATTTGGGCCAATTTATTTTCAGATGGAATTTTTCGTAATTTCTTGTGTGACGAAAGGCCATTTTCATTGGCTATTGAAGGCTACAAATCACGGATTCGGCTTGAGGCTATTCTCCAACAATGATTGAGTCCCTTAAACACAGATTTGGGCGGATTTATTCCGGGTCAATTTTTGGCAGATTCCAAAGGGGTACCATCACAGATTTCGGGCGATTTATCGGAAATGTCATTTTCTTTCAATTCTGGAGGCTACAAATCACGGAATCAGGCCGAGACTAATCTACACCGATAATGAAGTCTATTGATCCTATTCTCCACGGATGATAAGTCCGTTAAGCATCGATTTTGGCCAATTTATCTTTGGATGGCATTTCCGTAATTTCTAGGGCGACGAAGGCCATTTTCATTGGATATTGAAGGTTACAGATCACGGATTCGGCTTGAGGCTATTCTCCAACGATGATTGAGTCCATTAAGCACCGATTTGGGCGGATTTATTCCGGGTCATTTTTTGGCAGATTCCAAAGGGGTACCATCACAGATTTCGGGCGATTTATCTGAAATGCCATTTTCTTTCGATTCTGGAACAGATCACAGAATCATGACGAGGCTATTCTCCACCGATAATGAAGTCTATTGATCCTATTCTCCACGGATGATAAGTCTGTTAAGCATCGATTTGGGCCAATTTATTTTCGGAAATCATTTTCGTAATTTCTTGGGCGACGAAAGGTCATTTTCTTTGGATATTGAAGGCTACAGATTACGGAATTGGCCTGAGCCTATTCTCCAACGATGATTGAGTCCATTAAGCACCGATTTGGGCGTATATATTCCGGGTCAATTTTTGGCAGATTCCATAGGGGTACCATCACAGATTTCGGGCGATTTATCCGAAATGCCATTTACTTTTGATTCTGGAAGCTACAGATCACATAATCAGGCGAGGCTATTCTCCACTGATAATGAATTCTATTGATCCTATTCTCCACAGTTGATAAGTCCGTTAAGCATCGATTTGTGCCAATTTATTTTCAGATGTCATTTTCGTAATTTCTTGGGCGCTGAAAGGCCATTTTCATTGGATATTGAAGGCTACATATCACGGATTGGCCTGAGGCTCTTCTCCAACGATGATTGAGTCCATTAAGCACCGATTTGGGTGGATATATTCCGGGTCAATTTTTGGCAGATTCCATAGGGGTACCATCACAGATTTCGGGCGATTTATCCGAAATGCCATTTTCTTTCGATTCTGGATGCTACAGATCACGGAATCAGGGCGAGGCTATTCTCCACCGATAATGAAGTCTATTGATCCTATTCTCCTCGGATGATAAGTCCGTTAAGCATCGATTTGGGCCAATTTATTTTCGGATGGCATTTTCGTAATTTCTTGGGCTATGAAAGGCCATTTTCTTTGGATATTGAAGGCTACAGATCACTGATTCGGCCTGAGGATATTCTCAAAGATGATTGAGTCCATTAAGCACCGATTTGGGCGGATTTATTCCGGGTCACTTTTTGGCAGATTCCAAAGGGGTTACCATGACAGATTTCGGGCGATTTATCCGAAATGCCATTTTCTTTTGATTCTGGAGGCTACAGATAACGGAATCAGGACGAGGCTATTCTCCACCGATAATGAATTCTATTGATCCTATTCTCCACGGATGATAAGTCCGTTAAGCATCGAAATGGGCCAATTTATTTTCGGATGGAATTTTCATAATTTCTTGGGCGACGAAAGGCCACTTTCTTTGGATATTGAAGGCTACAGATCACGGATTCGGCCTGAGGCTATTCTCCAACGATTATTTAGTTCATTAAGCACCGATTTGGGCGCATTTATTCCGGGTCAATTTTTGGCAGATTCCAAAGGGGTACCATCACAAATTTCCGGCGATTTATCCGAAATGCTATTTTCTTTTGATTCTGGAGGCTACAGATCACGAAATCAGACTGAGGCTATTCTCCTCCGATAATGAAGTCTATTGATCCTATTTTCCACGGATGATAAGTCTGTGAAGCATCGATTGGGGCCAATTTATTTTCGAATGGAATTTTCGTAATTTCTTGGGCGCTGAAAGGCCATTTTCATTGGATATTGAAGGCTATAGATCACGGATTCGGCCTGAGGCTATTCTCCAACGATGATTGAGTCCATTAAGCATCGATTTGGGCTGATTTATTCCGGGTCCATTTTTGGCAGATTCCAAAGGGGTACCATCACATATTTCCGGCTATTTATCCGAAATGCTATTTTCTTTTGATTCTGGAGGCTACAGATCACGAATCAGGCTGAGGCTATTCTCCACCGATAATGAAGTCCATTGATCCTATACTCCACTGATGATAAGTCTGTTAAGCATCGATTTGGGCCAATTTATTTTCAGATGGAATTTTTCGTAATTTCTTGTGTGACGAAAGGCCATTTTCATTGGCTATTGAAGGCTACAAATCACGGATTCGGCTTGAGGCTATTCTCCAACAATGATTGAGTCCCTTAAACACAGATTTGGGCGGATTTATTCCGGGTCAATTTTTGGCAGATTCCAAAGGGGTACCATCACAGATTTCGGGCGATTTATCCGAAATGCCATTTTCTTTCGATTCTGGAGGCTACAGATCATGGAATCAGGCCGAGGCTATTTTACACCGATAATGAAGTCTATTGGTCCTATTCTCCTCGGATGATAAGTCCGTTAAGGATCGATTTGTACCAGTTTATTTTTGGATGGCATTTTTGTAATTTCTTGGGCGACGAAAGGCCATTTTCATTAGATATTGAAGGCTACAGATCACAGATTTGGCCTGAGGCTATTCTCCAACGATGATTGAGTCCATTAAGCACCGATTTGGGCGGATTTATTACGGGTCCATTTTTCGCAGATTCCAAAGGGGTACCATCACAGATTTTTGGCGATTTATCCGAAATGCCATTTTCTTTCGATTCTGGAGGATACAGATCACAGAATCATGACGAGGCTATTCTCCACCGATATTGAAGTCTATTGATCATATTCTCCACGGATGATAAGTCCGTTAAGCATCGATTTGGGCCAATTTATTTTCGAATGGCATTTTCGTAATTTCTTGGGCAACGAAAGGCCATTTTCTTTGGATATTGAAGGCTACAGATCACGGATTTGGCCTGAGGATATTCTCCAATGATGATTGAGTCCATTAAGCACCGATTTGGGCGGATTTATTCCGGGTCAATTTTTGGCAGATTCCAAAGAGGTACCATTACAGATTTCGGGCAATTTATCCAATATGCAATTTTCTTTCGATTCTGGAGGCTACAAATCACGGAATCTGGCCGTGGCTATTCTCCACGGATAATGAAGTCTATTGATCCTATTCTCCGCGGATGATAAGTCCGTTAAGCATCGATTTGGGCCAATTTATTTTCGAATGGCATTTTCGTAATTTCTTGGGCGACGAAAGGCCATTTTCTTTGGATATTGAAGGCTACAGATCACGGATTCGGCTTGAGGCTATTCTCCAACAATGATTGAGTCCATTAAACACACATTTGGGCGGATTTATTCCGGGTTAATTTTTGGCAGATTCCAAAGGGGTAGCATCACAGATTTCGGGCGATTTATCCGAAATGCCATTTTCTTTCGATTCTGGAGGCTACAGATCACGGAATCAGGCCGAGGCTATTCTCCACCGATAATGAAGTCTATTGATCCTATTCTCCTCGGATGATAAGTCCGTTAAGGATCGATTTGTACCAATTTATTTTCGGATGGCATTTTTGTAATTTCTTGGGCGACGAAAGACCATTTTCATTAGATATTGAAGCCTACAGATCACAGATTTGGCCTGAGGCTATTCTCCAACGATGATTGAGTCCATTATGCACCGATTTGGGCGGATTTATTCCGGGTCCATTTTTGGCAGATTCGAAAGGGGTACTAACACAGATTTTTGTCGATTTATCCGAAATGCCATTTTCTTTCGATTCTGGAGGATACAGATCACGGAATCATGACGAGGCTATTCTCCACCGATAATGACGTCCATTGATCCTATTCTCCACTGATGATAAGTCTGTTAAGCATCGATTTGGGCCAATTTATTTTCAGATGGCATTTTCGTAATTTCTTGTGCGACGAAAGCCCATTTTCATTGGATATTGAAGGCTACAGATCACGGATTCGGCCTGAGGCTATTCTCCAACGATGATTGAGTCCATTAAGCACCGATTTGGGCGGATTTATTCCGGGTCAATTTTTGGCAGATTCTAAAGGGGTACCATTACAGATTTCGGGCAATTTATCCGATATGCCATTTTCTTTCGATTCTGGAGGCTACAGATCACGGAATCTGGCCATGGCTATTCTCCACCGATAATGAAGTCTATTGATCCTATTCTCCGCGGATGATAAGTCCGTTAAGCATCGATTTGGGCCAATTTATTTTCGAATGGCATTTTCGTAATTTCTTGGGCGACGAAAGGCCATTTTCTTTGGATATTGAAGGATACAGATCACGAATTCGACTTGAGGCTATTCTCCAACAATGATTGAGTCCATTAAACACAGATTTGGGCGGATTTATTCCGGGTCAATTTTTGGTAGATTCCAAAGGGGTACCATCACAGATTTCGGGCGATTTATCCGAAATGCCATTTTCTTTCGATTCTGGAGGCTACAGATCACGGAATCAGGCCGAGGCTATTCTCCACCGATAATGAAGTCTATTGATCCTATTCTCCTCGGATGATAAGTCCTTTAAGGATCGATTTGTACCAATTTATTTTCGGATGGCATTTTTGTAATTTCTTGGGCGACGAAAGGCCATTTTCATTAGATATTGAAGGCTACAGATCACAGATTTGGCCTGAGGTTATTCTCCAACGATGATTGAGTCGATTAAGCATCGATTTGGGCGGATTTATTCGATTCCAAAGGGGTACCATCACCGATTTTTGGCGATTTATCCGAAATGCCATTTTCTTTCGATTCTGGAGGATACAGATCACGGAATCATGACCAGGCTATTCTCCACCGATAATGAAGTCTATTGATCCTATTCTCCACGGATGATAAGTCCGTTAAGCATCGATTTGGGCCAATTTATTTTCGGATGGCATTTTCGTAATTTCTTGGGCGACGATAGGCCATTTTCATTGGATATTGAAGGCTACAGATCACGGATTCGGCCTGAGGCTATTCTCCAACGATGATTGAGTCCATTAAGCAACGGTTTAGGCGGATTTATTCCGGGTCAATTTTTGGTAGATTCCAAAAGGGTGCCATCACAGATTTCCGGCGATTTATCCGAAATGCCATTTTCTTTCGATTCTGGAGGCTACAGATCACGGAATCAGGCCGAGGATATTCTCCACCGATAATGAAGTATATTGATCCTATTCTCCACGGATGATAAGTCCGTTAAGCATCGATTTGGGCCAATTTATTTTCGTATGGCATTTTCATAATTTCTTGGGCGAAGATAGGCCATTTTCTTTGGATATTGTAGGCTACAGATCACGGATTCGGCCTGAGGCTATTCTCCAACGATGATTGAGTCCATTAAACACCAATTTGGGCAAATTTATTCCGGGTCAATTTTTGGCAGATTCCAAAGGGGTACCATCACTGATTTCGGACGATTTATCCAAAATCCTATTTTTTTTTTCATTCTGGAGTCTACAGATCACGGAATCAGGCCGAGGATATTCTCCACTGATAATGAAGTCTATTGATCCTATTCTCCACGGATGATAAGTCCGTTAAGCATCAATTTGGGCCAATTTATTTTCGATGGCATTTTCTTAATATCTTGGGCGACGAAAAGCCATTTTCATTGGATATTGAAGGCTACAGATCACGGATTCGGCCTGAAGCTATTCACCAACGTTGATTGAGTCCATTAAGCACCGATTTGGGAGGATTTATTTCGGGTCAATTTTTGGCAGATTCCAAAGGGGTAACATCACAGATTTCAGGCGATTTATACGAAATGCCATTTTCTTTCGATTCTGGAGGCTATAGATAACGGAATCAGGCCGAGGCTATTCTCCACCGATAATGAAGTCTATTGATCCTATTCTCCTCGGATGATAAGTCCGTTAAGAATCGATTTGGGACATTATTTTTGGATGGCATTTTCGTAATTTCTTGGGCGACGAAAGGCCATTTTCATTGGATATTGAAGGCTACAAATCACGGATTCGGCCTGAGGCTATTCTCCAACGATGATTGAGTCCATTAACCACCGATTTGGCCGGATTTATTACGGGTCAATTTTTCGCAGGTTCCAAAGGGGTACCATCACAGATTTCGGGCGATTTATCCGAAATGTCATTTTCTTTCGATTCTGGAGGCTACAGATCACGGAATCAGGGCGACACCATTCTCCACCGATAATGAAGTCTATTGATCCTATTCTCAACGGATGATAAGTCCGTTAAGCATCGATTTGGGCCAATTTATTTTCGAATGACATTTTCGTAATTTCTTGGGTGACGAAAGGCCATTTTCATTGGATATTGAAGGTTACAGATCACGGATTCGGCCTGAGGCTATTCTCCAACGATGATTGAGTCCATTAAACACAGATTTGGGCGGATTTATTCCGGATCTTTTTTTGACAGATTCCAAAGGGGTACCATCACAAATTTCGGACGATTTATCCGAAATCCCATTTTCTTTCGATTCTGGAGTCTACAGATCACGAAATTAGGCCGAGGATATTCTACACCGGTAATGAAGTCTATTGATCCTATTCTCCACGGATGATAAGTCCGTTAAGCATCGATTTGGGCCAATTTATTTTCGATGGCATTTTCTTAATTTCTTGGGCGACGAAAGACTATTTTCTTTGGATATTAAAGGCTACAGACCACGGATTCGGCCTGAGGCTATTTTCCAACGATGATTGAGTCCATTAAACACAGATTTGGGCGGATTTACTCCGGGTCTTTTTTTGACAGATTCCAAAGGGGTACCATCACAGATTTCAGGCGATTTATCCGAAATGCCATTTTCTTTCGATTCTGGAGGCTACACATCACGGAATCAGGCCGAGGCTATTCTCCACCGATAATGAAGTCTATTGATCCTATTCTCCACGCATGATAAGTCCGTTAAGCATCGATTTGGGCCAATTTATTTTCGGATGGCATTTTCGTAATTTCTTGGACGAAGAAAGACCATTTTCTTTGGATATTGAAGGCTACAGATCACGGATTCGACCTGAGGCTATTCTCCAACAATGATTGAGTCCATTAAACACAGATTTGGGCGGATTTATTCCGGGTCAATTTTTGGCAGATTCCAAAGGGGTACCATCACAGATTTCGGGCGATTTATCCGAAATGCCATTTTCTTTCGATTCTGGAAGCTACAGATCACGGAATCAGGCGTAGGCTATTCTCCACCGATAATGAAGTCTATTGATCCTATTCTCCACGGATGATAAGTCCGTTAAGCATCGATTTGGGCCAATTTATTTTCGGATGGCATTTTCATAATTTCTTGGGCGAAGAAAGGCCATTTTCTTTGGATATTGAAGGCTAAAGATCACGGATTCGGCTTGAGGCTATTCTCCAACAATGATTGAGTCCATTAAACACAGATTTGGGCGGATTTATTCCGGGTCAATTTTTGGCAGATTCCAAAGGGCTACCATCATAGATTTCGGGCGATTTATCCGAAATGCCATTTTCTTTCGACTCTTGAGGCTACAGATCACGAAATCAGGCCGAGGATATTCTCCACCGATAATGAAGTCTATTGATCCTATTCTCCACGGATGATAAGTCCGTTAAGCATCGATTTGGGCCAATTTATTTTCGATGGCATTTTCTTAATTTCTTGGGCGACGAAAGACCATTTTCTTTGGATATTGAAGGCTACAGATCCCGGATTCGGCTTGAGCTATTCTCCAACGATGATTGAGTCCATTAAGCACCGATTTGGGCGGATTTATTCCGGGTCAATTTTTGGCAGATTCCAAAGGGGTACCATCACAGATTTTAGGCGATTTATCCGAAATGCCATTTTCTTTCGATTCTGGAGGCTACAGATCACGGAATCAGGCAGAGGCTATTCTCCACCGATAATGAAGGCTATTGATCTTATTCTCCACTGATGATGAAGTCTATTGATCCTATTCTCCACGGATGATAAGTCCGTTAAGAATTGATTTGGGCCAATTTATTTTCGAATGGCATTTTCGTAATTTCTTGGGCGACGAAAGGCCATTTTCATTGGATATTGAAGGCTACAGATCACGGATTCGGCCTGAGGCTATTCTCCAACGATCTTTGAGTCCATTAAGCACCGATTTGGGCAAATTTATTCCGGGTCAATTTTTGGCAGATTCCAAAGGGGTGCCATCACAGATTTCGGGCGATTTATCCAAAATGCCATTTTCTTTCGATTATGGAGGCTACAGATCACGGAATAAGGCCGAGGCTATTCTGCACCGATAATGAAGTCTATTGATCCTCTTCTACACGGATGATAAGTCCGTTAAGCATCGATTTAGGCCGATTTATTTTTGGATGGCATTTTCGTAATTTCTTGGCGACGAAAGGCCATTTTCAATGGATATTGAAGTCTACAGATCACGGATTCGGCCTGAGGCTATTCACCAACGATGATTGAGACCATTAAGCACCGATTTGGGCGGATTTATTACGGGTCAATTTTTGGCAAATTCCAAAGGGGTAGCATCACAGAATTCGGGCGATTTATTCGAAATGCCATTTTCTTTCGATTCTAGAGGCTAAAGATCACGGAATCAGGCCGAGGCTATTCTCCACCGATAATGAAGTCTATTGATCCTATTCTCCACTAATGATAAGTCCGTTAAGAATCGATTTGGGCCAATTTATTTTCGAATGGCATTTTCGTAATTTCTTGGGCGACGAAAGGCCATTTTCATTGGATATTGAAGGCTAAAGATCACAGATTCGGCGTGAGGCTATTCTCCAACGATGATTGAGTCCATTAAGCACCGATTTGAGCTGATTTATTCCTTGTCAATTTTTGGCAGATTCCTAGGGGGTACCATCACAGATTTCGGCCAATTTATCCGAAATGCCATTTTCTGTCAATTTTGGAGGCTACAGATCACGGAATCAGGCCGAGGCTATTCTCTGCCGATAATGAAGTCTAATGATCCTATTCTCCACGGATGATAAGTCCGTTAAGCATCGATTTGGGCCAATTTATTTTCGGATGGCATTTTTGTAATTTCTTGGACGAAGAAATACCATTTTCTTTGGATATTGAAGGCTACAGATCACGGATTCGGCCTGAGGCTATTCACCAACAATGATTGAGACCATTAAACACAGATTTGGGCGGATTTATTTCGGGTCAATTTTTTGCAGATTCCAAAGTGGTACCATCACAGATTTCGGGCAATTTATCCGAAATGCCATTTTCTGTCGATTTTGGAGGCTACAGATCACGGAATCAGGCCGAGGCTATTCTCCGCCGATAATGAAGTCTATTGATCTTATTCTCCACGGATGATAAGTCCGTTAAGCATCGATTTGGGCCAATTTATTTTTGGATGACATTTTCGTAATTTCTTGGCGGACGAAAGGCCATTTTCATTGGAAATTGAAGGCTACAGATCACGTATTCGGCTTGAGGCTATTCTCCAACGATGATTGAGTCCATAAAGCACCGATTTGGGCGGATTTATAAGGGGTCAATTTTTGGCAGATTCCAAAGGGGTACACCATCACAAATTTCGGGGGATTTATCCGAAATTCCATTTCCTTTCGATTCTGGAGGCTACAGATCAGGGAATCAGGCCGAGGCTATTCTCCACCGATAATGAAGTCTATTGATCCTATTCTCCGCGGATGATAAGTCGGTTAAGCATCGATTTGGGCCAATTTATTTTTGGATGGCATTTTCGTAATTTCTTGGGCGACGAAAGGCCATTTTCATTGGATATTGAAGGCTACAGATCACGGATTCGTCCTGAGGCTATTCTCCAACGATGATTGAGTCCATTAAGCACCGATTTGGGCGGATTCATTCCGGGTCAATTTTTGGCAGATTCCAAAGGGGTAGCATCACAGAATTCGGGCGATTTATCCTGAATGCCTTTTTCTTTTGATTTTGGAGGCTACAGATCACGGAATCAGGCCGAGGCTATTCTCCACCGATAATGAAGTCTATTGATCCTATTCTCCAAGGATGATAAGTCCGTTAAGCATCGATTTGCGTCAATTTATTTTCGGATGCCATTTTCGTAATTTCTTGGGCGTCGAAAGGCCATTTTCTTTGGATATTCAAGGCTACAGATCACAGATTCGGCCTGAGGCTATTCTCCAACGATGATTGAGTCCATTAAGAACCGATTTGGGCGGATTTATTCCGGTTCAATTTTTGGCAGATTCCAAAGGGGTAGCATCACAGAATTCGAGCGATTTATCCGAAATTCCATTTTCTTTGGATATTCAAGGCTACAAATCACGGAATCAAGCCGAGGCTATTCTCCACCGATAATGAAGTCTATTGATCTTATTCCCCACTGATGATAAGTCCGTTAAGCATCGATTTGGGCCAATTTATTTTCGATAGCATTTTCTTAATTTCTTGGGCGACGAAAGACCATTTTCTTTGGATATTGAAGGCTACAGATCCCGGATTCGGCCTGAGGCTCTTTTCCAACAATGATTGCGTCCATTAAGCACCGATTTGGGTGGATTTATTCCGGGTCAATTTTTGGCAGATTCCAAAGGGGTACCATCACAAATTTCGTGCGATTTATCCAAAATGCCATTTCCTTTCGATTCTGTAGGATACAGATCACCGAATCAGGCCGAGGCTATTCTCCACCGATAATGAAGTCTATTGATCATATTCTCCACTGGTGATAAGTCCGTTAAGCATCGATTTGGGCCAATTTATTTTCGAATGGCATTTTCGTAATTTCTTCGGCGACGAAATGCCATTTTCATTGGATATTGAAGGCTACTGATCACATATTCGGCCCGAGGCTATTCTCCAACGATGATTGAGTCCATTAAGCTCCGATTTGGGCGGATTTATTCCGGGTCAATTTTTGGCAGATTCCAAAGGGGTACCATCACAGATTTAGGGCAATTTATCCGAAATTCCATTTTCTTTCGATTTTGGAAGCTACAGATCACGGAATCAGGCCGAGGCTATTCTCCACCGATAATGAAGTCTATTGATCCTATTCTCCACGGATGATAAGTTCGTTAAGCATCGATTTGGGCCAATTTATTTTTGGATGGCATCTGAGGCTATTCTGCAACGATGATTGAGTCCATTAAGCACCGATTTGGGCGGATTTATTCCGGGTCAATTTTTGGCAGATTCCAAAGGTGTACCATCATAGATTTTGGGCGATTTATCCAAAATGCCATTTTATTTTGATTTTGGAGGCTACAGATCACGGAATCAGGCCGAGGCTATTCTCCACCGATAATGAAGTCTATTGATCCTATTCTCCACGGATGATAAGTCCGTTAAGCATCGATTTGCGCCAATATATTTTCGGATGGCATTTTCGTAATTTTTTGGGCGTCGAAAGGCCATTTTCTTTAGATATTGAAGGCTACAGATCACGGATTCAGCCTGAGGCTATTCTCCAACGATGATTGAGTCCCTTAAGCACAGATTTGGGCGGATTTATTCCGGGTCAATTTTTGGCAGATTCCAAAGGGGTACCATCACAGATTTCGTGCGATTTATCCAAAATGCCATTTCCTTTCGATTCTGTAGGCTACAGATCACCGAATCAGGCCGAGGCTATTCTCCACCGATAATGAAGTCTATTGATCATATTCTCCACTGGTGATAAGTCCGTTAAGCATCGATTTGGGCCAATTTATTTTCGAATGGCATTTTCGTAATTTCTTCGGCGACGAAATGCCATTTTCATTGGATATTGAAGGCTACTGATCACATATTCGGCCCGAGGCTATTCTCCAACGATGATTGAGTCCATTAAGCTCCGATTTGGGCGGATTTATTCCGGGTCAATTTTTGGCAGATTCCAAAGGGGTACCATCACAGATTTAGGGCAATTTATCCGAAATTCCATTTTCTTTCGATTTTGGAAGCTACAGATCACGGAATCAGGCCGAGGCTATTCTCCACCGATAATGAAGTCTATTGATCCTATTCTCCACGGATGATAAGTTCGTTAAGCATCGATTTGGGCCAATTTATTTTTGGATGGCATCTGAGGCTATTCTGCAACGATGATTGAGTCCATTAAGCACCGATTTGGGCGGATTTATTCCGGGTCAATTTTGGCAGATTCCAACATAGATTTTGGGCGATTTATCCAAAATGCCATTTTCTTTTGATTTTGGAGGCTACAGATCACGGAATCAGGCCGAGGCTATTCTCCACCGATAATGAAGTCTATTGATCCTATTCTCCACGGATGATAAGTCCGTTAAGCATCGATTTGGGCCAATTTATTTTCGGATGACATTTTTCGTAATTTCTTGGGCAACGAAAGGCCATTTTCATTGGATATTGAAGGCTACAGATCACGGATTCGGCCTGAGGCTATTCTCCAACGATGATTGAGTCCATTAAGCAGCGATTTGGGTGGATTTATTCCGAGTCAATTTTTGGCAGGTTCCAAAGGGGTACCATCACAGATTTTGGCCGATTTATCCGAAATGTCATTTTCTTTCGATTCTGGAGGCTACAGATCTGGGAATCAGGCCGAGGCTATTCTCCACCAATAATGAAGTCTATTGATCCTATTCTCCACGGATGATAAGTCCATTAAGCATTGATTTGGGCCAATTTATTTTTGGATGGCATTTTCGTAATTTCTTGGGCGACGAAAGGCCATTTTCATTGGATATTGAAGGCTACAGATCACAGATTCGGCCTGAGGCTATTCTTCAACGATGATTGATTCCATTAAGAACCGATTTGGGCGGATTTATTCCGGTTCAATTTTTGGCAGATTCCAAAGGGGTACCATCATAGATTTCGGACAATTTATGCGAAATGCCATTTTCTTTCAATTTTGGAGGCTACAGATCATAGAATCAGGCCGAGGCTATTCTCCATCGATAATGAAGTATATTGAACCTATTCTACATGGATGATAAGTCCGTTAAGCATCGATTTGGGCCAACTTATTTTCGGATGACATTTTCGTAATTTCTTGGACGACGAAAAGCCATTTTCATTGTAAATTGAAGGCTACAGATCACGGATTCGGCTTGAGGCTATTCTCCAACGATGATTGAGTCCATTAAGCACCGATTTGGGCGGATTTATTCCGGGTCAATTTTTAGAAAATTCCATCGGGGTACCATCCCAGATTTCTGGCGATTTAGCCGAAATGTCATTTTCATTTGGTTCTGGAGGCTATAGATCACGGAATCGGGCCGAGGCTATTCTCCACCGATAATGATGTCTATTGATCCTATTCTCCACGGATGATAAGTCTGTTAAGCATCGATTTGGGCCGATTTATTTTCGCATGGCATTTTCATAATTTCTTGGGCGATGAAAGGCCATTTTCTTTGGATATTGAAGGCTACAGATCACGGATTCGCCCTGACGCTATTCTCCAACGATGATTGAGTTCATTAAGCACCGATTTGGGCGGATTTATTCCGAGTCAATTTTTGGCAGATTCCAAAGGGATACTATCACAAATTTCGGGCGATTTATCCGAAATACCATTTTCTTTCGATTCTGGCTGGCTACAGATCACAGAATCAGGCCGAGGTTATTCTCCACCGATAATGAAGTCTATTGATCCTATTCTCCACGGATGATAAGTCCGTTAAGCATCGATTTGGGCCAATTTATTTTCGGATGGCATTTTCGCAATTTCTTGGGCTACGAAAGGCCATTTTCTTTGGATATTGAAGGCTACAGATTACGGATTCGGCCTGAGGCTATTCTCCAACGATGATTGAGTCCATTAAGCACCGATTTGGGCGGATTTATTCCGGTTCAATTTTTGACATATTCCAAAGGGGTACCATCACAGATTTCGGTCGATTTATCCGAAATGCCATTTTCTTTCGATTCTGGAGACTATAGATCACGAAATCAGGCTGATGCTATTCTCCACGGATAATGAAGTCTATTGATCCTATTATCCACTGATGATAAGTCCGTTAAGCATCGATTTAGGCCAAATTATTTTCGGATGGCAACTTCGTAATTTCTTGGCCGATGAAAGGCCATTTTCATTGGATAATGAAGGCTACAGATCACGGATTCAGCCTGAGGCTATTCTCCAGCGATGATTGAGTCCATTAAGCACCGATTTGGGCGGAGTTATTCCGGGTCAATTTTTGGCAGATTCCAAAGGGTTACAATCACAGATTTCGGGCAATTTATCCGAAATGCCATTCTCTTTCGATTTTGGAGGCTATAGATCACGGAATCAGGCTGCGGCTATTCTCCACCGATAATGAAGGCTATTGATCTTATTCTCCACTGATGATAAGTACGTTAAGCATCGATTTGAGCCAATTTATTTTCGGATGGCATTTTCGTAATTTCTTGGACTCGAAAGGCCATTTTCATTGGATATTGAAGGCTACAGATCACGGATTCGGCCTGAGTCTATTCTCCAACAATGACTGAGTCCATTAAGCACATATTTGAGCGGATTTATTCCGGGTCAATTTTTGGCAGATTCCAAAAGGGTACCATCACAGATTTTGGCCGATTTATCCGAAATGTCATTTTCTTTCGATTCTGGAGGCTACAGATCAGGGAATCAGCCCGGGGCTATTCTCCACCGATAATGAAGTCTATTGATCCTATTCTCCCCGGATGATAAGTCCATTAAGCATTGATTTGGGCCAATTTATTTTCGGATGGCATTTTCGTAATTTCTTGGGCGACGAAAGGCCATTTTCTTTGGATATTGAAGGCTACAGATTACAGATTATGCCTGTGGCTATTCTCCAACGATGATTGATTCCATTAAGAACCGATTTGGGAGGATTTATTCCGGTTCAATTTTTGGCAGATTCCAAAGGGGTACCATCACAAATTTCGGGCGATTTATCCGAAATGCCATTTTCTTTCGATTCTGGAGGATACAGATCACGAAATCAGGCCGATGCTATTCTCCACGGATAATGAAGTCTATTGATCCTATTATCCACTGATGATAATTCCGTTAAGCATCGATTTAGGCCAAATTATTTTC